TTTTATGGAGCCCTAATAAGGTAAAATCCTTTGAAGCCTTCCATAAAGGTGGGGGGCTCCTCTTGGGTCCTGTCTGCCTTTTGGATCAAAAGGAAGGTCTGTGTTAGTTTAAACTCACTTGTTTTATTCCAAGAGCACTTTCTTTATCTGAGTCTCCGAAAACCTAGTTTGAACCAGTATATCCAAGCCTGTCCAGGGAGTGGTACATCTTGGAGGTGTTTACAACCTGAGTGAGTCAGTCTCACGCCTCACTTCATGTGCCCTTGTTTTATGAGCATGTCACTTTAGTTATACTGGTAGGGGGAAAAAAGTGTGTGTGTGTGTGTGTGGAGTTATACTGGTAGGGGGAAAAAACTATGGGGGGTGTGTGTGTGTGTGTGTGTGTGTGTGTGTGTGTGTGTGTGTGTGTGTGTGTGTCAAACAAAATGTATTGTGGGCCACACATTGGGCCTGGGGTCTGCAGGTTGCCACCAAGCCATGGACCTCAGTCAGAAGATCTCTGCAATATGGACATGTTAGTACAGCTGTGGAATTTGGATCTAACAGTTTTAAACCTGACCTTACAATGCAGGGTGCATTAGGGATGTGAATGGGTAACTAGTTAACTTGTTACCCATTCCAGCACTTTACTGTAAAGTGGAAAATGAGGGAAGATAGACCTGATTCAGGCTTCTCTCCAGTTACTGCAAAATATTTTTGGAACACTTTTGTACAAAGGGAAGTAAACACAAGGTACTTTATACAGATTGTAGTCAGAACCACCCTTGTACAGTTTGTACTGGATAACATCAATGACAAGTCTGACGTGTGTGTAGTTCATGGACTTATTTTAGGATAAATTTGTGTTGAGGCTCATTCAAAATAGATATGTAAAACCCTGTTTGTTTAGTTAACCAATTAAACAGGGGCGAGTGGGGGAGAGGAGGTGCTCCTGGCTGGAGTGCCCCTGCTCACAGCGTGCCCAGGCTGGGCCTGCTGCAGATGGGGGCTGCTCTAGCTGGACTGGAGCACCCCCTACCCACAGCAGGACCCATGTGGCTGGAGCAACCCTGCCTGTGGGGGGCAGCTCCCGCCCAGCCAGATTAACCATAACAGTGTAGTATTTTGATCAGTTTTCGGATGAAACATTGA